AACACTGTATAATTCTAATGTAAACTTCTGTTTGTCCAACTTGTTTTTCATAGGATGGAATAAATCATGATCAATGGTAGAATAATTACAGTCTCCATGCAAGACATTAATTAGAACTGTGGTACTATAGTTGGCTAAGTCAGATAGCTAGAGTTGTGGAGGAATGTTAGATGAAATGCTTACCCTGTCACTTACTTGGCTTTATCCCTACATGCACGTTGTTTACTGGTACAGTATAGAGACTGACCAGAAGAGAGCATCTCCATTTTCATCCAGGGACTGTGGGTGGGCAGCCACTGAGGGCTATTCTTAGATGCTGGTAAAGCCTTTCAAGTTGAGTCACATGTTCATGGTTACTAATCTGCCTCTGTACTAATTCAGTGCTGCTGACTCTAATCTGTGGGATACATACTTGTGTATTTAACATAGCTATCTGTGTGTAGTTTGCTTTTACTTCTATTACATTTTCTCCTCATCACATTTGATATTTTGAAAATTGTCAGAAAAAGTATATCCTTTTTCCATTGACATTTTTGGTCAGGTTTTACCTTAATTCATGGTATGTAACTTTAGGTCCACAGTAGGTTGGTTTCTACTCTCTCATTTTATTGTCTGATTCCACTTGAAGTAACAGGAAGTAGTGTGTGACTCACTCCATTATTGCTCTGTGCTTTCTGGATATACTGTGTTCTGATTATCCATGATAAATATAAAAAAGAGTATGTGTGCCTACACATTGAGCACCTGTTCTGTGCTACTCATGTCTGTTAATAGTCTCCATCTGGTTTCTGTAAATTTATACTGTGAATTGATGAAGAATTATCTAGCTGTTGGGTGTCTGGTGGCTCAGTTGGTTGAGCATCCAACTCTTGATTTCCACTCAGGACATTATCTCACAGTTTGTGAAATCAACCCCCACATCAGGCTCTGTGCTTTCAGCTTGGGATTCTCTCCTCTCTCTGCCCCTCCCCAGACTCACACTGTCTCTCACTCTCAAATAAACTTTTTTTTTTTTAATATTTTAATGTTTATTTATTTTGAGGGAGAGAAAGACACAGTGCAAGCAGGGGAGGGGCAGAGAGAGACACACACACACGTAAAATCTGAAGCAGGCTCCAGGCTCCGAGCTGTCAGCACAGAGCCCAACATGGGGCTCAAATTCATGAACCATGAGATCATGACCCGAGACGAAGTCGGACACTCAACCAACTGAGCCACCCAGGTGCCCTTCAAATAAACTTTTAAAAAATGAATTATCTAGTTGAAAATATATTAATAGTCCAATAAGTAATCTATATTTCAAATGAAAACTTTTTATGTGTTCATACCAGTAATACTCTTTAATTTTAGTTACTTAACTTTTAAAATCCATTCAGCTTAGATTCGTATCTTTATATAGTATTGTCCAAATTATTGGACATGTTTATTCAAAACTCCTGAAACTGATAGTGAGCATCGACTTTTAGTTAGGTCAAATTAATGATTTTGAAATATGGATATATTTGAATCCTTTAATAATGCTATTTAAGAATATAATTTATTCAGACTGAGTCATATTACTGTACTTAGGTATTTCTTCCCAGAATGTTTACTCAGAGCCTAAAATGGAAAAAGGAAATTGTTGGTCCAGTACATACGGTCTGTGATTTCTGGGACCAGCACATTGGTTCCTGTTTGGACGTGTGTTTAGTTCTGCTCTATTAGAATTGGGGATGTGCTCCACCCTCCTTTTCAAAAAAGTTTTTTTCTTCCCAAATGTAATTTTTGAAAAATTAGGTTACAGGGCTAAGAGTAAACAAATGTGTGTGAAGCCACATTTCAGACATAAAGGAACACTTGCTATATTTAAGAGTAAACTTCGGTAGATTGAACATAAAGGCTGTTTTCATTTTGTGTTTCAAGATATACTTTTGGCAGCTCTCATAATCACAGTAAAGATGTTTTGACCAAGGACTCCGTGGCTGCTGCTATAAAGTCAGCATTTAAATTCCACGAACTGTAAGGGACAGGAATAACCAGGATATGGTCAGGTGTTGCGCTCCTGGCCACAGAGTGAATGGGCTGTTTCAGTGAGCCTTTCCATCTAGCTGCCTACAGGGAGAAAACCGCGAGGCGGGAGGGGCCTCGAGGCCGAGCATCAGGTTCAGCAGTGCTGGCTTTCACAAGAGTGCCACAGGAGCACAAGCTTTTGTTTTGGCAGCATGCTTCTTCGAGATCCACATTATATAAGGTTGTGGAGGTAAAGTTCATGACCATATGGAAAAAAATGTAGGTGCTTTGATTCTAGCCTGAATCACACTGAGTGATTTAAGTACAATTATTTTTAGACTTTAAAAAAAAAAAAGTAGATCTGACTTGCCAAGAATAGATGCTTAATTTTCAAATAATTGAAGTGGGGTGTTTTTTTTGTTGTTGTTATTTTCCATCTCTAGCCAAGAGTTATTTATGGGTTTAAAATGGATGTGAAAAGGGGCGCCTGGGTGGCTCAGTTGGTTAAGTGTCTGACTTCAGCTCGGGTTATGATCTCGTGGTTCATGGGTTCGAGCCCCGCATCGGGCCCTGTGCTGACAGCTCAGAGCCTGGAGCCTGCTTCAGATTCTAGGTTTCTCTCTCTGTTTCTCTCCTACTCACACTGTATATCTCTCTCTGTCTCAAAGAAGTAAATAAACATTTAAAAAAAAATGGATGTGAAAGTAACTGAGACTATTTCAGTGTCAGATCACTAAACAATAAAATGACATTTAATGTAATTATATTCTTGGTCATGTGAAGGCTTCCTGTGTGAAAACTCTGAGTTATTTCATATTGAGCTTTAGGAGAATGTAATTGGAGAAATTCAGTCAGTGTCATTAAGGATAGAGAGTGGGTATCTGGATAACTTGGTGTGGTGGGGATGATGCTGGCTATGTGTCTGCCCACACTCTGGTTCATTCAGCAGGCTGTTCTCTTAGAGGTTCCTAGAATCACAGGCGGCTTAGGGACATACAAGCTCTCTGTCTATAACTTTGTAAGATTATCTCCTTATAGGAGAGTCTCTGTCCCCACCACATGCCATGGTTATTTTAAGCAGCATTGTTTAGAGTGGGCTCATGCCGAGGAAGTGATTTATCTGGGACACCATGGGGCGGCAGCCAGGAGAATGACATGTTATAGCTGGTTTTGAGGGATCTCTGGCACCTGTGAGGAAGAAGATCCAGACAAGTACAATCTGGGAATTAAGAGAAATGATGGGCAGGGGGAGACACCTAGTCCAACTGGTGGGTTTGAATGTGTTGGGAGCGGGGAGGCAGACTAGGATGGCTCTTCCCCACCCCACTTGGACAGATGATTGCGTGCACATAAACTTCACATGTCATTTCCACATACCTTCTCCACGGGCAGGGAAGGGCCAGAACATTTGTTGACCTAGGAAGCAGGATGAGTCAGAGGCATGATTTCACCCTTCTAGGCCCAAGACCACATGCACAAGAGAAAGCATCTTTTTCGTTGAGTGTGACACATGGGTGAAGTGTCAACCCCTTGTGACTGGCTAGCTGGCAGCCAAGAGCTGGGATTAGAGAATATGGGGTGAGCTCACTTTTAAGACATGTTGACCACGAGGTGCCTACTGGGACATCCAGGTGGACATACATGTTCAGGAAAGGGTTGAATTTCTTTTTCTTCTTTTTTCTTAAGTTTTTTAAATGTTTATTCAGAGAAAGTGTGCATGAGAGAGTGCGCAAGTGGGGGAGGAGCAGAGGGAGAGAGTCCCAAGCAGGCTCCATGCTGTCAGTGCAGAACCAGATGCTGGGCTCAGTCTCATGAACTTGTGAGATCATGACCTGAGCCAGTATCAAGAGACAGATATTCAACTGAATGAGCCACCCACCCAGGTGCCCCAGGAAAGAGTTGAATTGTGGGGAGAAACGAGACCACTTGAGAGTCAGTCTCAAACTTTTTCAAGAACAGGGCACTGTAGTATCATTTGTGTAAAGGTGGCAGCTGAAGTTATAGTCTAGTTGGTATTCTTTCTCTTTTCCCATATTCACCACAGTCTTAATTTAAATTCTCCTTCATCTACAGCCTTTCAGTTCATGCAAGGAATTTGTTTTTACCTATATACTGAACTGTAGGAGGACCTACCCAGCACATTTTGTTATTATTTAGTATGATCTGGTGGTTGTTCCAGATGATTCCATATCTGCCAGGTCTTAGGTATCAGACCCATTTGGTTCCCAAAGATAAATGAGCAGGGAGAGAGAGTCTCTTGTTCACCTTTATCAGAGTTGAAGAAATTCAACCCCTTCCTAAACATGTATGTCCACCTGGATATCCCAGTAGGTACCTCATGGTCAACATGTCTATCACATTGCCTCAAACTGCCAGAGACGTGCTTTGTAAATAGAGTGATTGTCCTGCTGCTTTTGGAGTAAGGCTCCTTAGTCCTGGCACACTCTCTTCCATTCTGTGACTATATTTGTGTCAGAGACTTGGTGTCGTCCCGGGAGGTACGAGGCATAGCACTGTCCCTGCTGCATTTTCCCATGGAATTAATATTTTCCAAAAGGATATAAGAACAAGAGAAAAAATAACCCTTTATCTTTTATGCCTGACAGATAATCAGATTATTCTGGGGATTAGATAAAAATAAGTCATTTGTTCCTATAGTTAGTTACTATAATGACCATGATAATCTTTTGTAAGTGAATTTAAAAATTAAATCAGATAAATAAGATTCAGCTTAGGGAGGGAGTAAATATAGAAAGCATGATGTGAATTTGAAGACAAAGTTGACATTCTTTGGGTGAACAGTGTTGTAGAGTTTGCTAGGGGCTATGTCCCACTAGAGCCCGCTCTGCCATGGGCATGAAGGCAGTGTTCTGACAGGCCACAGGGCCTGAGGCTTCCAGGCGTTGAGCGTGGTGATAGATTGTGCTTCGTTCTATTATTTTACTTTCTTTAATATCTTTACAAAATCCGCACAGTGGCTTTCCCCCGCTCACATCTGGTTTTATTCACAGGCCATGTTCTCATAGAGATTTCAAGTACCCACAAGAAACTCAATGAGAGTCTTGATGAAAACGTATGTGAACTATTTTTATACTTATAAAATATATTTATTTTATATTTAAAGCTTATTTTGCTTAAAGTCTCAAATCTGATGTGAATTTTTCGTTTGCTTTTGTTAAAAGTTCAAAAAATTCCATAAAGAGATTATACATGAGCTGGAGAAGAAGACAGAACTTGATGTAAAATACATGAATGTGAGTACATGGTTTTGCTCCACCTCCATGGGTGGAGGTAGGTGTGGGTCATGGGGACCTGGCTTTTCCAGAAGGCTGCACTTGCCTGATCTCCTAGCCCTAGGAGAACTTTCTTTCACTGTTAATCCAGCAGCAGCAAATATGGACAGTGTTGAGTATATACACAAATGTGTGAAATAGACAAGGTGCCTTCCAGCTGAGTGCCCTGTTTGCATTAACACTTAGGATCTTTATTAAAAAGCATGGAGGAAAATATTGCAAGGGATCCTGCTTCTAGAAAGCATTATTTTCAAAGAACACGCATATGGGAATGGCATCTGCATCTGTATTAGTGCACCTGTTGCTCTTACAAACCAGCACTTGAGGACAGGAGACGTGCTTGGTGTTTTCCCAGTCATCAAAGACTGCTCCTGCATGATGTCCCTTGCCTGTCACCCAGTATTAATGATTCCAGCAGTTTTCTCCTTCTGCCTCATCCTCCAGCCCTGTCATACAGGGCTCTTTCCACCTCCCTTACCTGCTGTAGAGTAGCTGCTTTATTTGCCACCCAAAGCCCTCTTCTCACCAAGACTCCCATGTGGGAGTAAGCAGTGTAGCTTACCCTGACATCACCTTGCTGCCCTGTGTGCATGTGCCCTGTTCACTCTGGAGGACGGCCACCTACAGCTGCTGATGTAGGTATAATGCCAAGCATTTTCCATACATTATCTGATATTTATCCATATAGAAACTCCATAATGTAGGTACTCTTCTTATCCTCACTGTACAGATTAAAGGGAGAACATGGGTTTTAGAGAAATTAAGTAATTACTGAGATCACACAGGAAATGAAGGATGATGCCAGAATCCTAACCTAGTTCTGTTAGGCTCCCCAAACACTTTGCTACACAGCACTCAAAATAGTCGAATGTGATTGCATTCATTAAGTTTGTTTCTTAAAATGGTTAAGTCATAAAACAGGAACATGTGATTTAATATTGTTTTTTAATTCACCAAAGCACTTACCACTCAGTGTGCTAAAACATTGGAGGAAAGAAGAAAAGACATTGTTATCCTTCAGGAGCTGCTCTTGTGGTCAGTGGCTCCTTCTGTGAACAGGGAACTTGAGGACAAAGCCATACGTTGAAGTGGAAGGGAGGGAACATTATGAAGTGAGGGTATGCAGGGCCACGTCCAGTGGAAATACTGGCAAAAGTAACTGCCCAACAGTTTGTATGGCATACACTAAAACAAGCACATTTCACTTACAGGCAACTCTTAAAAGATACCAAACAGAACATAGGAATAAATTAGATTCTTTGGAGAAATCTCAAGCTGAACTGAAGAAGATCAGAAGAAAAAGTCAAGGAGGACGAAATGCACTCAAATATGAACACAAAGAAATTGAGGTGAACTTTTCAGCACTTCTTTATTTTATTGTTGCTGATTTGTGCAGTTTACAGGAAAGCTTACTTAACTCACTCAGCCTATATTTCATCTGCTCACTGCTGTGCTACTGCTGAAGTTAAAAATGAGCATTTTTGACCTGGTATGAGCTTAAGGCTACAGAGTTTTCCAGAGTTGAGATTAGTAGCCTCCTAAGAACATTGGCATTTTCTCCCAATTAGGGGGAGGGTGGTTAGCATTACTATCCTACACCATGATTAGCATTACTATCCCCATTTTACAGATGAAGAAAAATGAGACTTAGGCTATGTCATATGGATGAACTGGGGTTTGAAGTTGAACTTTCTGGTTCTAAAGCCTTTGATTTTCCAATAGAACACAATCCTGTCCTTGAAACATAAAGTAATATTTTGTGCAAATTGCCCAGCACAGAGTAGAAGGCCTTTGGCAACATGCTTCTGCACTTGAGTCAGAATGATCTTAATGAGAATGATGATACCTGCTCAGGTCAGGCTACAACTTTGTTATTTTATCTAATGTTTATCTGCATTTAGCATTTACTCCATTGTCAGAATAAACCAAGTGTAAAGATGGTAGATGATAAATGTCCGGCTGTGCAGCTCTTTGATTCCTCATGTCATACTTATATAATTATTATTTATTTTTCTAGTATGTAGAAACTGTTACTTCTCGCCAGAGCGACATCCAGAAATTTATTGCAGATGGGTGCAAAGAAGCTCTGCTTGAAGAGAAAAGGCGCTTCTGCTTTCTAGTTGACAAACACTGTAGCTTTGCAAATCACTTGCATTATTATCATTTACAGGTGGGTTCATCATGATAAGTTGTGTTGCATTATTAATAATTTCATATTCAAATGCCCTAGAAATGATTTACCTTCCATATGTGCCTCAGTGTAAAGCCATGGGCCTATTTTGCCAATGAGAAGATTCCAAAGAAATAGTCTTAGCCAACTTAAATATGTAAACTTTCAGAAATGTGGACGAAATGGTCACATGTTGCTTATAATATTTAAGTGATCTATCCATATTTAAAATCTTTCATAAAATAATGTTTAATAATTGAGATATAGCATGTTTTCTTTTCTCACCTGTGAGTCTGCTTTTCTCAGACTCTTTCTGATGCACCCTCAGCATCAGTGTCTTCACCAGAGCCATGGGATGGGTCCCAGTGGGCGCCAAGTCCAGCCCACCTGGGTGGTTTGAGATGTTCACCTCAGGAGTCCACGTTCAGAGGTGTCCCTGGAAGTTCTGTCCCAGCATCAAGACAGTTGTGTGGTTAACTTTTTTATCCTCCTCAAGTGTTTCCTTGTGATCTCATCAACTGAATGACTGGCTTTACGGCCTTCCTTCCAGCAATACAGTTGTGAGGATATGCTACAGAAATCATTACAAAATACGTTATTTCCTCTTTGTTTTTTTTAAAATTATAAATAATATTGGGACTGTGTAAGCATCCAAAATTAGCATTGAGTGAAGTCAAATATTCATTGTTATTTATAATGTAATTTAGAGAGTGCTCCATGGTAGAAGCTTTGTAAGCACTTGCATATAAGGCAATTTCCTGTTTTTCAGGGGGAAGAAACTTGGCCCTATCTGTATTCATCAGTCAAATGTTATGTATTCTGTAAAGTTTTTGTAACTTTCAGGACTATTCATGTACCAAATTTAAATTCCTAAGATCTAACATTGTTACAGGAAAGAATTGCATCTAATAAGATGATCACTTTTGTCAACAGCGCATGTGTACTAGTTTTGGCAGAGTCTCTTTCTTTAGTGAGGGTGCCCTGCTGGGCCAGGGTCATAGGCCAAGTGACCATAAAGCTCTCTTCCTACGGCAAAGCCTTACCATTGAGGGGTACTCACTGTGGCACAGGGCAACCTGGCCTGTTTCCAGAGAGCTCTAGTTGGTGGCAGATCCTTTCTTATGCTCAACTTTGGATCCCAGCTGTGCTTTTTAGTATAAACTAAGTCTACTTCTTTTCTCTACTGGAAGTCTTGTCACCTTTCTTTTTTTTTTTTTTTTTAATTTTTTTATTTATTTCTAGGGGTGAGAGAGAGAGAGAGACAGCATGAGCAGGGGAGGGTCAGAGAGAGAGGGAGTCACAGACTCTGAAACAGGCTCCAGGCTCTGAGCTGGCAGTCAGCACAGAGCCCGACGTGGGGCTCGAACCCATGAACTGCGAGATCATGACCTAAGCGAAAGTCGGACGCTTAACCGACTAAGCCACCCAGGCACCCTCGTCACCTTTCTGAAAACTGCTCTTGTGCATTCCATTTTCCTGGCTATGGCGTCCCAGGCCTTTCAGGGGCTCCTTGGTTAAAGCACCAAGCAGTTGGTGTGTCAGGGTTATAGTCTGAGGACATAGGAGGTTTGGAGTGAGGGCTTCACCCTCTCTCAGTAGTGAGAGGAAGAAAGCACTGATTGGCATTTCCGGGGGTCACTGGGGAAATAGTAGGGCTTAATAAGATTGCTCAACCCTCCCTTTTGGTGTTTGAGCTTGTTCTTCATCATTTACAAACCTTGTCCTAGTCTTCAACCCTATATTCACACTGCGGGAGTGGGGGAGCTCCTGTAGAAAAGGAGCCTAGTCTTTCTCAGTCAGTAACCCAGGGCAGATGCTCATAGATGCTTAAATGTTCCCTGGATTTTAACACAAAGTCTCACACTTGTGATAGTAAGCCAGAAAAGCATTATCACTGATAGTTCATGTAACTTTTCTCAGCTCTTTGAGCAATACACATTTGTGTTTAGTTATGTTTCTTTTGGATTTATAGTCTGCAGAATTACTCAATTCCAAACTGCCTAGGTGGCAGGAGACCTGTGGCGATGCTACGAAAGTGCCTGAGAAAATAATGAATATGATAGAAGAGATAAAGACCCCAGTCTCTACCCCAGTGTCCGGAACGCCTCAGCCTTCACCAATGATCGAGAGAAGCCACATGGTAGGCATTGATTTTCTCCCCAAGGTTTCCCCAAGGTTTCATTTGTGTATTTACTAATATGATTTGGGCCAAATTTGCACGGAGGACCAAGGCCTTTGTTAGTAGGAATCACAGGTCCTCCTTTATGCTAGGGCCAGCCTTTTCTCACTTTATCCCCTTGCCTTCAGATTTGACACCGGCTGTGCAGCACTTGGCACTGTGTAGTGCTATGTATAGCACTGTTATCTTTGTTTTGGAACTGTTATTGTTACTGTTTTTAATTGTAATGATTCCACATTTGTAAATTTATTCCCAGTGAAGGAAGTGTAGGTGTCTTAGAGAATAATTAGCAAAACTCTGCTGCCATTCATCACAACATAATATGGTACTGAAAAAAAAAAAATGCAGCCACCACAGTATTCAAGGTAATGCAGTCAAGCATTGTAGTTTGCTGTTCTTTGAACCTGGGTTTTATTACTTTGCTCAAATGTTGTGTGGAGATTTAGATCCAATGGGTAGTTTGGATACATGAGTCCACCCTCACTTCTGAAATGACACAGCAGAGATGCTAAAGACCAGTCAGAAGCCTACAGAATAGATCCGTAACTGCATGGGGAATAAGAGAAGATGCTGGTACTGGGTCAGAAACACTGAAGGAGTCTAAGAGAAAGGATCGGTGTGCGGAAAATCAAAAGAGAAGGAAACCTTAGCTCTGAGCATGTGTAGGGCAAGACTGCAGCAAAGGGCAGCGCAGTAAGCTCAGAGCCAATGGTTTGCAAGAAGTGGCAAAGAACCCGGGATGTTGTGTTCTTGTATGATTTGCATCCTCTAAGTTGGTCGGTTTCTCCCCCACTGTCCCACTTGTACTGAACAGTAGGCAGCAGGGGCTTTGGTCTACTGGACAAAGCACTGTGTTTTCATTGCGGAGGCCGAGCAGGCTCCTGGGAGTATCTCCCGTGTCCCCCACCTCACTGTGGGTAGTCTGTGATAAGGAGAGCAGGCAAGATCCAGACTGCCATAAAGAGGGAAAAGAATAAGGAATGCAATATGCTACAAAGGTAGACAGACAACCAGGAAACACCAAATAAGTGAGGAAAACCAGTATCATAAAAAGATACACTGAAAGGAAAAAAAAACCAGAACGACCAATATTGGAGGTAACAGAGGAAATAGGGAAGGAGAAATCTTTAGAAAGAGAGGAAAAGATACTACATGCCAGGAAAGAATCAACTAGAGATTTTGGAAAGTAAAAATTAGATTATTATTTATAATTGAAATGTCTGGGACTTGCTTCAGCATAATCCAGGCATGGGAGAAGATGGGTGTGGCATATATGAAACAATATTGGCCATAAATTTGTAATGGTTGAAGCAGGGTGTTGGGTACATGAAGATTTATGCTGTTCTTCCTACTTTTGCACTTGCTTAAAAATTTCCTAAAACAGGTTTTTAAATTTCTCCTTCCCCTTCTTCCCTCCACAAAACAAAACAAAACAAAAAGACACAAGAAAACCCCACACCAGTAGACAGGCTTGTTAGCAGAATGGAACTGCTTAGAAAATTAAGCCAAAGAGCTCTCCCAAAACACCGAACAAAAACAGAAAAAAAGAGGATGTAAACTTAATGATAGACAGGTTGGAGATAGCCAGTTGCCTTCTCATAATCACCAGATGTCTAACGGGGATCTCAAATTCAGCTTGTCCAAAACCACACGATTGATTTTCTCACTCTGAACATGCTTCTCCAGTCTTTCTCATCCAGGAAATGGCAGCTCCATCCTTTCAGTAGCTCAGGCACAAATGTGGACACCCCCCCTTCCTCTGTCGGGTCACAGCCAACCCGCCAACTCACGGGTATGCCCTTTTGTTTCCACCTTCAAAGTATATTCAAGCCCAGCCACTTCTCCCTCTCTACTGCTCTGACTATGGTCCCTGCAGTGATTACTGCAGTAGATCTGCCTGCTCTTTAACACGGAGTGAGTGAGCCTGGACAAGAGGAAAAAAACAAAACTTCAACAGATCGTGGTCAAGTTGCAGAAAGAGGCAAAGAGAAAATTCTAAAAATTTCAAAGTGGGGGGAAAATAGATGACTCACAAAGAGAACACTAATGGTACCAGATTTCTTGTTACCAAAACAAGATGTTAGAAATTAAAGGACCAATGCACTCAAAATTCTTGGGAAAAATTATTTTAAATGTAGAATCCTGTAGCCAAGAAGGCCAATCCTGTAGACCTAGAGGGGATCCTAAAATCATAGAGACAGAAAGTAGATTAGTGGTTGCCAGGGGACGGTGGGAAATGGAGAGTAACTAACTGCCTTTAAAAAAGAAAAAAAGACAAATGAAGAAAAGACTGTGATAATCTTGAAATAATTCAGAATAGGGCATTACCATCCAACTAAGAGAATTTTGGGAAGAAAGTAGAATTTAAAACATGTTCCAACAGCCCTGGAAATCTCTATAAGTCCATTGCTTTGTTACACTAATTTTAAACTAATAAGGAATTTTTCACAGGTTGGGAAAGATTATGACACCCTTTCTAAATATTCACCAAAGGTGCCCCCAGCTCCTTCTGCCAGAGCGTATACCAGTCCTTTGATTGATATGTTTAATAACCCAACAACAGTTGCACAGAATTCAGAAAAGATAAAGAATTCAACAGGTAAGATACTTATTTTGATTTCTTTTTAAAGTACCTTTTTAAAATTTTTTAATAACTATTTTGGGTAAATGTTACCATGAGGTAAATCAACATGTAGCACACATTCAGCATTGCCATATTGGAACTTACATTTCAAAATAAATAAAGGTATGGTTTATTATAAAACCATAAGACATTTTATAAGTGACACATTCTTTAACACATACTAATTCCATGTACTGATTCATGTTTATATAGAGTAACTGTGCTATGGAAAGTTGTTACATTTTATGGGCTCCTGGGTGGCTCAGTTGGTTGAGCATTTGACTTTGGCTCAGGTCATGATCTCATGGTTCGTGGATTCGAGCCCCATGTCGGGCTCTCTGCTGACAGCCAGCTCAGAGCCTGGAGTCTGTCTTCGGATTCTGTGACTCCCTCTCTCTCTGACCCTCCCCTGCTCACACTGTCTCTGTCTCTATCTCTCAAAAAATAAATAAATAAATAAATAAATAAATAAATAAATAAATAAAACATTAAAAAAAAAGAAAGCTGTTATATTTTAAAATACAATATACAAAGAGCCTCCATACTGAGCCATGGCGATTGCAATAAAATTTCTTTTTTCAATAAAACAAACTATAAAAGTTCCCATGACAAAATTATGGTTATTAATCTTATCAGTAGGTTTAGTTTGAATTGTAATCAGTGTTTTTAATCATCTCTAACAGAGAACTTCATGCTTTCTGGACACTTAAGTTCTCACTGCTTAAATTTCTGTTGCTGTTTCAATAAATCAGGACCAGTTACTGTTTGCAGACATTTCAGGCGGCTTCGGTTAGGCTGCGCTCTGTGCACAGAGTTTTTGACACCAGAGACCCCTCTCTCTGTGATAGGTGTCTCACGGGCTCCATTGTATGAAAGTCATGGTGTTCAAGCTGTGTGCTAGAGAGAGCCACCCAGACCATGCAGCGCTGGGTGAGATGGGAGAGGAGATTTTCAGAATGGCAGTTTTGTTTTTTTGGGGTGGTAGGTGTCAGCTCACGCTTGAATGGAGACAGAAATGTACAGCTCCGTGCTTCACATAGTGCATTCCAGACCGTGGCTTCAGGCCACCCACGTCTGATGTCCAGTGAGGCCATGTGTGATCCCGACGAGTCACTGTAGATGATAACCGCTCCTTCCCTCAGAAGCTGTGAACCATCCAAAGCATGGATGGCTCTGCTTAGGGAGGGTTCAGTAAATGAGCACGGTGGGGGCAGCTGCGTGTCCAGTCTCCTCTTGTTCTTTGTGGCCCAGCTTGTAGGCAGTGGGATTTGAGTTGATGGCCCTCCCTGCCTTGGGATTCGCGTTGGGAGAGGAGCTCGAGGAAAGCCTCAGACCCTCTAGTGATGCATCAGCCAGCCTCCTACTAAATCCAAGCGCGGGTGAGGCTTGGCCACTCTGTGTCCTCTCCGCCTGGGGAAGAGTGGGCAGCCTCAAGGGTCTTCCTCCGTGAGGGGCCTCCGGCTGCAGTTCTGCCTCTGCTCCTCACTGTCTCCGTCCGGCTGTCGGTCCAGGCAAAGACTAAGGCGCAGAAATAGAGCACGTGGAGCTGCAGCGGAAGGGATGCTGGCAGACAGGAGTGGGTGGCTTTCTGGGGTTCGCTGGTGTGAATTTGCCATGTTATCACTCCTTGAAAAGTGATCACTGCTGTGCTCACTTTTAACAGATTCTTCAGATGATCCCAGTTTACAGCGATCGGTTTCTGTCGCAACCGGACTGAACATGATGAAGAAGCAGAAGGTGAGAACCATCTTCCCACACACTGCAGGCGCAAACCAGAGCTTGCTTAGCTTCGCCCAGGGAGATGTCCTCACACTGCTTGTCCCTGAAGAGAAGGACGGCTGGCTTTACGGGGAGCACGACACCACCAAAGTGTAAGTCTCAGGGTAGATCCTGCCCACGTGGGAGTCAGGACCACCCGCTGCTTCCGGGAACTGATGTATCTCCTTTGAGGGGCAGGGTCTTTGTGGTCACGGCAGCATTTTTGCCAAAGTTAAGTTCATACTTTAGTTACGGTTCTAGTTTAGTTCATCAGAGTTACTCTGTCATGGGCTGTTTTCTGTACGTCTGTGCATCTACAGGCGAGTTGGATTCTTGAATTGATTATATGAAGTCACCTCAGAAAGTGGTTTAAATACTTTTTTATGTGACTTTGGATTTCTCAAGGATAATCGACACATCAGATAGATTTTCTTAAGATTTAGCCCACCAGTAGTTTAAAGGCCAATGTTATCATTTCAATGAGTAGTTGCACAGGCTTTACTGGAAGCTGGTTAAATCAGTTTTCTGTGTAGATTATTCACCTATTAAATAAATGTGGAAAAAAGCCAAAAAGGAAATCCAAATAAAACAGATGCTGTATATAAAATACTCATCGTGTGATGTGGTGAAAAGGGACCGGTCTGCCCCGGAGCTGCCCCAAGTCCTCCCATCATGCGTTTATTGCCTGCTTGTCTGCGGCTGACCCCACAATCAGGTTTTTTTCTCACATCTCACCCACAGGAGGGGTTGGTTCCCAGCATCTTACACGAAGTTGCTGGAAGAAGATGCAAAGGAGGACATGACTGTGCCCACACCAAGGTAGGACCTGATAGTGGCTCCTATTTCCCAGTGACCCCAAACTCTCCTTTGACCACATGTTTTCGGCCATATCAGAATTCTGTCTGGATGTGGAGCAGCCCCACAGGGAACCCCCCACCCCCCCCCGACCCCGGCCCCAGCTCATGTAGGAGAGTACGAACAGGGGATTACTACCCCATGGCTATTTCCCTTGTGGCTTCTGCTGTGAGGGCACACCCCCAAACTCTGCTCCTCACCCCGCCAGCCCTCTGGAACCACCCACCACACCCCCCTCCCAACTGGTTACTAAATCCAAGGTGACCGTCATCATTATCACCGCTTAGCAAGTGCCAGCATGCCTTATACTGACCAGTTCATTTAATTCTCAGAACAGCCTTATGAGGTAGGTCGCCACTTTGAAATTGAGGAAACCAAGGCACAGAAAGGTGGAGCCAAGGCTAGAACCCAGGAAGGTCTTTCTCACACCTGGCTGTGAACATTTGTGTGTTGGGCAGTTGTGGTCAGCTGCCCCGTGGGGTCCTCAGAAGTGACCCCTCCAGACTGCCCTCCTCATCTTTACCCAAAACCACCCCATCCTCAGTGGTTCCGTCTCAGGGAAATCCTGCACCCCATCCAGCCGTCCCGGTGGACCTTTGAGCACCACACTTGATGCCCTCAAGCCCCCCAAGTCCTGGTCCATGTCATCTGTGTATCCTCCTCACTGGCAGACTAGCTCAGCTACCACTAGGCCAAAAATAAAAATTTTGACATTTTACGATGTCAAAATGCTGAGGCTTTTTTGTTTTTGTTTTTAATCTGAAGTGTTCAGCACTTTTGCTACAGCCTTTGCTGTAGTTTTCATTTTCTTATTGATCTCCTTGAATTAATCAAGATCCAGCCCCTAATTAAGCTCGTTTTCGTTTGAGTGCACATTCATAAACCAGTGAAAACATGACAGTACTTTTTACCTAGAGGTACATTGCACATACGCACAACCTGTATGAATGTTAATCTGTTGTAGTTTTGGCCATAGGATGTTCAGGATGTTTGGGGCTCAGATGGCGGGATATCATGTAACTCACGTTCTCTACCTGTTGCTTGTTAGCCCAGCGCCAGTGAGAAGCATCAGCACGGTGAACTTATCCGAGAAAAGCAGTGTGGTCATTCCCCCGCCTGATTACTTGGAATGTTTGTCCCTGGGAGCGGCTGCAGATACAAGAGCAGACATTTCTAAAAGTACTTCTACCTTTAAAGCACCGGTGTCCAAACCAGAAAGCACGTCTCCTGTGAGTAGAGCTGCAGCATGACACGCTGTGCACGCAACTCCTGAAGGGCGGTGGGGGGTGTGGGCCATTGTTCCTGCAGGGACTGAGGTGGCGACTGCGGGGCAGGGTGGGGGCAGGCCCTGTGTCCTGTCTCTTCTGAGTTCCCTTCTCTGTCACACAGCCACTTAGCTTCCTCTCAGCCGCTCTGTCCCTCTTCTGTTTGTATTTCATCTGTAAATGCAGTTTGTCAGATGGTATCAGGTTTTACTGTCTCCCCACCTTTGGTTCTGACTGCAGTCCATCAGTCACTTCACCTGGTTCTGCGTTTTCTTCGATTTTCATATTACTCCCTGAAGGAAGGCTTAAGGTTAAAAGCGGTAACTTGATCTTGGTGCCTTCAGAAAGTGCTTAGTGTGCACCAGGTGCTGGGGAAACACCACGTCACATATGTTCTCTAGAATTGTATACAACCCTATAAGAAAGACCAGAGGGACTGCGGGCACCCCGAGCCCCCTCATGCCTTCAGCAGCTGTGTCTGCCGAGCGCCTGGTGTGGGCTCTCCAGGTACAGAGATGCGCAACACCAATTCCCGGCTCTGCTGGAACCCACATTCTAGCCGTGCAGAGTTACAGCGAGGTGAGGTGACAGAGGCAAGGGGTGACAGCTCGGATGGATGTCCCAGGTTTGCGTGCAGACGCTTATGAGGGAGCCCCAGGGGGCACCCCTGTGAGAGAGGAGGGTTTGGCATCAGGCAGGGGAGAAGTGGGATTGTGAGGGCATCTAGAGCATGAGGGCATATTATCCAGGGCGGTTTCCTGAAGAGCCTGGACAACTGACGGCAGCACCCCCTGCAGCTCAGAACCAGTTCCTGGGTCCTGAGGGGGATCTGGGCAGCATGTGACCGTATCTACACCCCCCAAGGAGGCAGTGCTGAAGCTGAGACCTGAATGGCAAGGAGCCCATCGTGCAGGGGTCAAGGGGAGAGATTCCCAGACACAGGAGCAGAGGAGGGCACGTACTTAGCATGCTCAGATAACGAGGCCATGATTCCAGGATGGCAGAGAATCGAGAAAGGGGTACGTGCTGTCAGTTTTTTCTCAGGATAGACTATATCACAAAGAAGGCAGGATAGAGAAAAGGGTGGTGGCCTAGAAGGCGAAAAGAGCACACCTGGCAGAGGCAGTGGTGGGGCCAGGAGAAGGGACACACAGGGAATGCCCAACTGAGGACATCCGCTCTGTCGGCCAGAGAAGTGAGATCATTAGCTGATGGGGGCAGAGCCAGCAAGTCTCAAGAAAGAGAGTCTGTGACACAGACATTCTGAGGAGGGAGAAGGTGCCTGCACGGCAGTAGTTGCAATCGAGAGTAATGCCAAAGCCTGTTTACAATTCAGGGTCCTGATCGCAAATGAAGTCAGGACGTGTGGTTGTTTCTGCAGCAACATGCTGCTGCTCAGCTCTGGCAAGAAGGAACTAGTGTTGGAGGGTTACTGGGTGGTGGGGCTGGGGGAGGAGCAGGGAGTTCCAGGTGTTTGCAGGGGTGGGGCTGTGTCCCAGACCCTGGAATCCAGGCGTGGCCATGGACAGAACTATGGGGGGGGGTGGGAGAGGAGGGGACAGGTGGCGTCCAGACCTCTGTGAGGCTGCATGGTTGCTAGACTTCAGCGGGAAGGAGCCAGGGAGGCCAGGGCCAGAGAGTGGGCTGGACTCTGGGGGCCGCCGGCTTCCTCCTGGAAATGCCCCAGAGCACTGTGGGCGGTCCATAGGTACTGGGTGCAATAATTCCCGGCTACTCTGATTTTTAGTTTCCAGTTATTGTGTAGTCCTTTCTTTTTTTTTTTTTTTATAATTTTTTTTTAATGTTTTATTTATTTCTAGGAGAGAGAGAGAGAGACAGCGTGAGCAGGGGAGGGTCAGAGAGAGAGGGAGTCACAGACTCTGAAACAGGCTCCAGGCTCTGAGCTGGCATTCAGCACAGAGCCCGACCGCGGGGCCCGAACCCATGAACCGCGAGATCATGGCCTAAGCGAAAGTCGGACACTTAACCGACTAAGCCACCCAGGCACCCCTGTGTAGTCCTTTCTGTAGTGCACACTGAAGTATCTCCCTGCTTCTCATGGGGGGTGTGGCTCCTAGCTCTACCCCAGCTGGCAGCACCCCTGGCGGCCTCTGTTCAGCTGTGAATGGTGCCTGGCCACAGTCTCGAGATTACATGGGATGGGCACTCTTAAAAATGTGCCCTGTGTTTGTTTGAGTGTGAGCCTTGGGGTGTTTTGGAACATGCCTACCTCCTCATAAGTTAACATGGCGTGTTCTGATCCAGGAAATGCAAGGTTTTGCAATCTCATTCAAAAATGTCTTTGGCTTCTCTTAGAGAAGCACACTGTACAATATATTGTTTGCACCTTTATCATTCCAAGCTACAAATACCTAATTGCAAAAATTATTTTCAGAAAAATGACCCACAACCATTGAAAATGGAGCTTTCCCATTCCCTCATGATGGAAGAGAAATTGCTTAGAAGGACAAAGATATCAAATGCTGTTTTATTAAAGTCCCTAGTACATTTTAAAGCAATATTCACAGTGTTTGGAAATGATTTTGAAGCATTTTGAAAAGCATAACAATTCCTTTTACTAGGGAAAAAAACCTTGCAAGTGCATATCACAAAACTCAGGACCCAGGAATACCAAGATACACAGTCTCCTGGTGTGACCTGTCCTTAATGCCTTCTCCTGTTTTGGTTTGATTTTCTACTTTTTCTTAGGGAAAAATTCAAACATAACACAAAAGTGGAAAGAGTCTGGTATCTAATGACCTGGTCCCCTCACCCCCAGCTTTCACAGTTACCAGGTCATTTGCCAGTCTTTTTTCACCTTGCCCCCAGCCACTCCAGGTCAATTCGATGCTAGTGCCAGACTTCATGTAATTTCACGTATAAATGCCTTAAATACATTTTATGTTTGAATAGAATACCTTCTATTTTTACACAACCACAGTACCTTTAAAAATTGACAGCACTTCCTCAACATCATTAATCATCATTCCTCAATCATCAAATTTCTAATTGTCTTATTAAAAATTTAACAGTATAGTCTGGATTCAGGCTGGCTCCATATGTTGTAATTGGTCACCAAGTCTCATGACAAGTGTTTGTATCTACGGGTCTCCTCGTATCTTTTTCCTTGTAACTCACCTGGAAGAACCAGATTATTGGCCCTGGAGGGTGTCCCCAGGCTGGGTTTTGCTGAACGCATTCACGTGGTGTCCTTCACCCCATTCTCCTGCATTCTCGGCCTTCATCAGTTGGTATTACGGTTTTGTTTCTTTGCCTGTTTTGTTAGAGCATTTCATCACTGGTGGTGGTGGCTAGTCCATCCGTGGGGGACACGTCTGGTTCTCTCTCCTTTTGTGATCTCAGCAGCTTTGATAATAACCGCCTCACTCCATTATTTTCTTAAGGCTATGTGATGTCTTTTAAGATAAAAGAACCTTGCCCCAAAATCATAGTTAACACTGAAATTATAACAGTGAAAACACTGACACTTTAGCCAACAGTCTCAGTTTTAGAAAACTTTGTTGTTTTTTCTTTTTTTTTACTGTGTCGGTAAAGCTTTACAACAAAAGCAGTGATGCAGTTGTTATTACACTGAATTAGATACATTCAGAAATCCTGTTTTTTGCTGCCTAGCATAATAAAGAATAGCTAATACCATCCTTCTCAAACATTTTCCCAAAAATAGAACAGGACAGAACACTTCCTAATTCATTCTGAGGCCAGCATCACCCTGATACACCAGTCAGTCCCCCTATTTCTGTCTTGCAAGCCAGAAGACATTTTTTTAGTCTTTCATTTTAGCACCTATTAGTGTTTGGTTTCACGTAAATTTTTTTAAAAAATGTTTATTTTGAGAAAGAGCAGGGAGGAAGAGCAGAGAAAAAAACCCCAAGCAGGGACGCAGGGCTCAATCCCACTAACCGTGAGATCATGACCGAGCTGAAATCAAAGCTGTACGTCGTCCTTCCTCCGTCCTCCTGGGTGGCATCTGCTGGCAGCCCTCAGGGTGTGTGCTGGGAACTCATGATGGGGCAGGAAGCAGTGCAGTCGTCCAGGAAGCAAGGGTGGTGGGAGTCGCGTCCAGTGGAGATGGGAAGGGATGACAAGTTATTTAAGGTGAAAACTGACGGAGCTAGTGACCAACTGGTGTGTCCTACTTGGAGAAACCACTGTCCTGTCTTCAGTCTGGAAGCAGTTCTGGTTTGCTCACGTTAATGTATGTTGGAGCTTGCTTTTGTTTTTGTTTTTTTAATGTTTATTTTTGAGAGAGAGAAACAGAGCATGAGCAGGGGAGGGGCAGAGAGAGAGGGAGACACAGAATCCAAAGCAGGCTCCAGGCTCTGAGCCTGACGCGGGGCTTGAACTTACAAACCGTGGGATCATGACCTGAGCTGAAGTCTGGACACTCAACCAACTGAGCCACCCAGGGCCCCAGGAGGTTTTTCTGTTTTTTGGGGTGGGTTTTTTTTTTTTTTTTTGATAATTTATGTAATTATGAGTTCCTGATCTTTGATGTGCCAACATTAAAAAAGAAAAACATTCTTATCTGCAATAAGTTATACATGTAACTACTAGGAAAACATTTTGAATAATGTAAAATAATCAGGATATGTATTGTATTCCTTAAAGACAAAGTTACTTACGGATTTTTAAAATACAAAGTACATGCATAAGCTTGAGACCCACTTCGGGCTCTGCAGTGCAGAGCCTATGTGGGGTTCTCTCTCTTCTCCTCTTGGGATTCTCTCTCTCTGCCCCTCACTCGCTCTGGCTCTCTCAAAAAAAAAAAAGTACAAAGTACAATTTGAGAGACTGTTCTCACTTTTGATAATTTTTTTCATGTGTGTATATCATGCCTTTACTATATCTAACACAGAAAGATATATGGCTTTATGGTGACAATTTTATCTCAGGCTCTATTATAAATAAACTGATAAATTACCCAACTCTTGAGACAGAAATAA